ATTCTAATTACCTCCTATTTAAACTTTTATAAGAAGGTTCAATATTAAAGATTTTTACATAACTGTAAACTTAGTATACAGTGGAAGATTTTATATGAAAAGTATTTGTTAAAAGATTGCTAAACATTTCAATGTCAACATTTTAATGTCAAGCAGCTTAAAATTTAGTTGTGGTGATGACCAAAGTATATTAGTCATACATTTAAAGACAACATAAAAATAAAACAATTTCATATTGTACAAACAACCAGCTTGTTTGCAACTGGTCATTGATTTGGTCATTGACTCTTGTGTTGAGTTTTATTGCAATGTAAAAATTTTATCTTGCAATACAATGAATTAAACAGTTGCAAAAATTACAACTTAATCTTGGACAATGATTATGTTGTAATTTTTGGACAATATCATATACTTACATATATGATAAAATATGTTGTACAGAACTCGCTTCTTATGTGCAAAGTTCAGAGTTCGATCCCTTCCATGCCCCTGGTAGTGCTGTGCTCAGGGTTCATGTTTTAGAGTTAAAGAGTTGAGAGAGGGTTGTAACCACAATTAAACTTGCCTCCTTGACTGTAGTGGCCTTCTCAGCACACTATGTGTTTCAAAGCGGAACTTGGATTTTACTTTCTTTTCTGAGAAAAAATTTCAATTTTAATATTTTAAATAACTTTTAACCGAATCAAGTTAGCATTCGTTAATAAAAAAATATTTGTTTTAAATTTTTTTTAATATTGCTTTTTTAAATGCAGGGGTAAAAAAACCCGGTTTTTCATCAAATCTTTATATTACATTCAATAATTTCCGAATTTCCTCAATTTTTTTTGCATATTATCAAATAAATGATGCATTTTGTAAATTAAAAACCAAAAAGAGAAAAATAAAATGTTTGGATCATTGTTTTTGTGTGTCAGTAAAGATTGATTGATTAGACCGAGTTATTACAGAGGTAGACAGTTGTTTATTTTGTTATAAATTTTCTACGATAAATAGACTTTTTAGAAGTGAAACAATATTCTGGCTACCTCTGTAGTAACATGGTATGATATTAATTCATTGTAGTCGGTTTTATTAAAAACCGGTTAGTTAATAAGATGCGGAGCGGTTCATTTGTTCCTAGTCTTTAAGATACAACTTTTAAATGTATGTGCTTTATTTTTGAAATTCTCATTTTTATCACTTTATGCTGATTACACAGTGAGTTTTAACATTTTTGAAAGTCTATCTTTTGATTTATTAAAAATTTGTGAAAAATAAAAAAAGTTGTTTCTAACTAAATATAAAACATCAAAAATCAACAAAGTAAATATCTCTTGTGAGTATATATTAAGTTGTTATTATTATGGCAGACTTTAAAATGGTGCACCCTAAACTTGGTAAACAATGAAAACTTTTGTTACGAAAATTAAAATTCAATTTTCATTGGCTAATAAGTTAAATTAGACTTCAGCACGTTTTTAAGCTTTCCAGTTTACTACAGTACAACTTTAAGCAAGATGATTCCTCTGGCAGAATTTATTGAAAGCATTATAGAAGAAAGGCTGATTAATTTTCCCCATCAAAACAGACTAATCCATGTTTGCAAATTTTGTATCTGTGGTCAGCAAATGAATACTCAAAGATTTGAGCCATGTCAAGTAAGTAATGTAAATATCATATTTAATCATATCATGTTCCATGGTATTATACATAAATATCTTATTTAATTGTATCATCACTCTCATCATATTTAGTACAACCCAAGTCTAATCAGATTAGTATTTAAAATGTAAGCAAGCTAGAGCTTTATTTAAGTTATCATTTTCTTTTATAAGGATTAAATTACTTCATAAAATCTAATCATGTTAAATTGGACTTTGCTTAAGCTTTTTCTGAAGGTTTTTTTCTTGAAATATAAATACAATTTGGCGATGCAACAGCTGTAAAAAGACAAAAACTATATGAAGTGGTTTTTTTGAATGTTCAACATCTTTAAGCGTAAGTGATATACTTCAACTTATGTTGTTATGGGTTTCAGAGGTCCTGTTACTGCTGCAGCTGAGTTAATAGGTATAAGTCAACCAACTTCAGTTCAGTGGTATCAGTATTTTAGGGACATCTGCTCATTTAAAGTTTTAGATATTGCAGCTGTAAACTAGCTGGAGAAGATACACATACTGATGACGAGAAGATACACATACTAATAATGAGAAGAATGTATATGGAGGAAAAGCTAAAAACAACGAGATCAAGAAAAAAAGACAATTTGAAAATATAAATTTAAAAAAGCTATTGAAAGAATTTAATATTTGTTTAATATTAACAATCTAGTGAAGATTTCGGATAAAAAAAAGTTAATGAAAGAAAACTAAGCTGAAGAATATAAGAACATTTATTTTAAAAAACAATAATATATTGTAATTGTTTATTTGAGATTTAAAACTGTTAACACCTATACATATATTTTTTTAAGGTTATTTGTAAATTTTTAACTTGTCACAAAACATTTCTCAAGTAAGCCTATGTGAAATAGTGAAATCTTACTTAAAATAATAAAACCTTATTCATTTTAATTCTAATATCAGTATTATAGGTGTAAATGTTGTAATTTTATAGTTTTAATTGTTTATATTTGGTTTGTAAATATTTATTTAAATTTTAAAAATGTGTTTAGAAAGTTTATATATATATATATATATATATATATATATATATATATATATACATATATATATATATATATATATATACGTATATATATATATATATATATATATATATATATATATATATATATATATATATATATATATATATATATATATATATATATATATATATATATATACATACATACATATATATATATATATATATATATATATATATATATATATATATATATATATATATATATATATATATATATATATATATATATATATATATATATATATATATTGCTTGTATTCAAGGGAAATGCAAAAAGTCTAAAAGCATAATTTTGAGATAATGAACAAATAATTTTTTTATTTTACATTTAAAATGTAAAATAAAAAAATCTTAGCAACTCATTAAATTTATTAAATATTTGTGGTATATCAAATGATAGAGAACTTAAAATACTAAATAGTTGTTTAAATAACTCTATACTGCCAAAAATGGACTATGTGCATATCCCTTGTATACTGATGATATATATATTTATGTATAGACACACACATACACACACAAATTGATTTTACTATGTTTCACAAAAAACACTTCTAAGTTTGACATTTTTGTTGGTGTTGTATATGCTTTAATGTATTTTTTTATTATTTATAGTGTACTACAAAGAGCACCTATATCAGAATAAATAATTTGTTTCGATTTTCATTGAAAAATCTGAATATCTAATTGCAATCATTACTAATAACATTTAAAAAAACCATACCTATGTCACAATCTGTACATATACTTCATTGTGCTTCTTTTATTAGGAATTTTAAGTATCCTCCAATAAGTTCTTTGTCTTAGAGTGCTATTGAAGCCAGAAACAAAGAAAGCAAAACTACACGTATTAGTCATGCATGTCTAACATTCTTGACAGAAAACACTAGGGATTTGTTTATGACATTTGATATGTACCTCTTTTGAGTATTTTTTTAATTGTTATGTTATTGTTAGTAGTTTAGACTATTTTTGTCAGACTGTTTATTTTAATTTTTTTTTTGTTTTTTGGTAAAGAAATTTCAATATAGTTTATAATAACAATTCAAAATTTTGTTGTTTTTTGTTTTTAAAAAGAATTTAAGAAATGATTGAATGAATTTTAACTAGTAATTAACTAATCTAGAAAGATCATGAACTAAAATGTTATACTGATAAGCTGTTCTGTGTTGAATTTTTAAAAATATGGCTATTTTCATAGCCACAAATTATTAAAAACATCTATTAGATCATTGAGAAACTTTGTAAGAAACTGAAGAATAAAGAATCAAATGATAGCAGATTTGTTTATAATTTTTATAAGTTTATATTTAATGGTATTGCTTATAAATTTCTAAAAAGGTTATTCAAAGTCTATAAAATATCGGTGCCTATTGTTTTTTGAATAAAAATATCTGGACATATGCAATTTTCCGGATTAGTCAGAAATTAGCCTGGATAAACCGAAAAAAAAAACAGTAAACTGTTTTTTTTTATAAAAAACCAACAAAAATTCGATGTCTTGTGAAAAAATCAGCTAAATATGTTGAATGCTTCCTTATTTATAAGCCTATTTCCTCATTTTATATTAGAGTGATGCATAGATGCATTAGGGAGGTAAACTTACATTTAAAAAAAAAAAAAATTTAAGTGTATGATACTAACTTTCTGAAAACAAAGCCATTACTTATGTTTTCAGGGAAGTAATATTTAGTACATTTTTTAAAGGGCATTTTTTTATACTTACTGTATTCAAGTTTTATTATTCTTTAGAAAATTCTTTTACTTAATAGTTATTTGCTTAGAAAGTTTTTTTTTTGCAATTAAATTTTACATTGTTAATTATCTGTAAATAAGTTAATCAAATTTTATATATATACAATGTACAAATGTTATATTATATATATTAATAAAATTAAATTATTCAAAAAATTTTTAAATCTAGTGTTATTTTATTATTTAGAACACTTTTAGTGGGTATATATACATAGTATATGTACCCACTAAAAGTGGTATATATATATATATATATATATATATATATATATATATATATATATATATATATATATATATATATATATATATATATATATATATCATATATATATATATATATATATATATAGATATATATATATATATATATATATATATATATATATATATATATATATATATATATATATATATATATATATATATATAATGTATATATATATATATATATATATATATATATATATATATATATATATATATATATATATATATATATATATATATATATATATATATATATATATATATATATATATGTATATATTTAGTAAACCCATGTTATATGAAATTAGATGGAGTATATTTAATTCAAGATGTTTTAATGTTTCTAAATTGTACTTCACAACAAGCAAGCTATGTAAACTGTTCTGCTAATCAAATGTTTGATCCAGCATACAATAAATGTATGGATGTTGCAAATTATAACTTAAGCAATTTTTGTAATGGAAAGTTTGATAGCAATTATCGAAATCCATGGAACTGTCGTAGTTTTATTTCTTGTCATGGTTATTCATCATCTATAACAAATTGTCAGGAAGGATTAGTTTTTTATCCAATCATTAATAAATGTGATTATGACTATAGTTTTCAATGCATTACCATAAGTGAGTTTTATATGTGTAATTTTTATTTGCTAATTTTATATATATTTTTTGACGTTATGTTGAAGTTTAATTATTTTAAAAATTCTTAATGAGTAAAATGTAAAGATAAAAATATTAACAAAATTTAATCTAGTCTAATTTTAATCTATTGAAATAAGAATAGATAATGACAGTTAGGGTGTGAAAAAGTTATACCTTTCTATTTGTATTATTAAAAAAAAAGTTAAGGTTTTTATTTAAGTAGGGCAATTTGGGTATTCTTTCAGAAAATAATCTTAATTTGATCTATCATATAGGAAATGTTATTAATTTCCTTTTTTAAAAAAAATTAATCATATATATATATAATATATATCGATATATTATATATAAATATGAACATATATAAGTAGATACTATTAGATTTATATATAAATAAAAATATATAAATATAGATACTATTAGATTTATAAATAGATACTATTAGATATGTATAAATAGATACTATTAGATATTTATAAATAGATAATAGATTTAATTCAACAGGTAAGGATAAAAGTATAATAATATCTTCTTAGTATTTTTTTTGTTGTAAATGAATGATTTAAATAAAAAAACATGTATTTGCGTTGCAGCTTGATAGCTCAGTTAGGCATTGAAAAGAAATTTTAAAATTGAAAAGTTGTGCATTATAAGTTCAAATCTTAAATGAATTCTCCAACAACTCAGTACTTAATATTTAGTACTTAGTACTTAGACCTTCAAGTTTTTTTTTCATTTTTCAAGACTGGTAGATTCAAGATTCAATATTCAGGGCTGTTAGATTCAGCATATTATAAAGTTTTTATTTAAAAACTCCTTTCTAATAATTGTATAAAGTTGGAGGCTAAATATTTGGAAATTTCATAAGTGCAAAGCAGTTACAAAAACTGGCATGAGTGTGAACTGACATAAATGCAAGTTGGCATAAGCTGATATGAGTGCTTATTAAGCAGTTGCAATACACTATGGGAGTTATTCTAACTGCTTTGCACTTATTCCAGTTTAAACTTATGCCAATGTTTTCAAATTTAATCAGTCTGCTTTTGCAAGTTTGCACTTATACCAACTTGCCACTAATACCAGTTTTTGCTACTGATTAGCATTTATGCTAGTTTGAACTTAGACAAGTTCACACTTATGCCAGTTTGCACTTAGTCAGCTTAGTTAGAAAGGCCAGCATTTAGAGGCATTAGAGCAATCTTCAAATTTTAAAAACATTGGAATGACAGATGTTGTTTTCAAGCAAGTAGAAAATCAAAATTTAGATAAGCTCTTATTAAATAGTATTAAAAAAAGTTTCGAAAGGTGTTTTCATACTGCAACAGAACTGTTTAAAATAGTCTCACAAAAAGCAAATAGGTCTAGTGAAATTTGCTGATGATGAGATTCAGCAGATTAATATGTTTTTTAAAAACCACAAATATTTGTAAATGGTAAATTAAAACAATTTAGTGGTGTGCATGGTTATTTTCATTGGTTTTTTATATTTATTTTGCACGATTTAAGTTATTAGAAAACTTGAACCATTGCATGTCAACCTAAGGAACAAGCTATGCAGTTTCTTTAGGCTTGCTAATCAACCCAGGGTTTCATCTAATGGCATTAAAAAAGACACTATCCATGCGCAAGTTGGCACTGTTAGACTCTGTGGCAGCTTTCTTTTAAGGCTCTTGTTTAACAATATTTGTCTTCACAGCTTTCTTTTTCCTATTAATTATCTCCAATGAATTTTTGAAGATAATATTAAGTATTACTTCTTTTTTTGGAATATGTAAACTCTAAGTTTTTTGTTTTTGTTTTAAGTTTGCTCAAAATAACTATTTTGTGCAAATATTTACTTTGAATTATTTAAAATATTTAATTTGAATTATTTGAATAGAATATTCAAATAATTCAAAATGAATATTTCATTGAAGTTTTGTTTGTCTTAACTTTGTTCAAAATAAATGTTCTAAAAATAAATATTATGCATTATTATTTTAATACAGCTATTTAATCTTAATGAAAAATTAAACAACCTTTAAGCTCAAGTTTAAATTTAAAGAGTGGTGTTACTTCTACATGAAATTTTCTAAAATAACCATTTTTACATTGAAAAATTTTTGTTTATAGCATTTTCTGCAAGTTCTACAATACATTCTACAACTACACAATTTTTTCAACATCCAACACTGACACCATCTACAGATTTATTGAGTCTAAACATCTTTTATGAAGCATCAACACCATTAACTCCAAATTTGAAAAATATAGGTAAACATTTTAATTTTTTTTAATTTATTTCTTGTTTTAGTTTTTGCATTTAGGTTTTTTTTTATATATTCTTAAATAAAAATCTTGTGTTTTATACTTTTAAGGAAATAAAAAAATATATATTTAATTTATTAATATATAGTATAAATTATATTATATAATAATAAAATATAATTATAACTATGTAGTATTACTTATATTATATTACATATATAGACTTGTTATTAATTGTTACTTATAGACAATTTGTTTAATAAAGCATAAGCAGCATACCAAAGTTTTTCTTTGTGATCTTTCAACCTGTTTTTGGACAGATTGACATGAGACATATAATATAATTACAAATAACTGTTACAAATATTACATAAAAACATGAAAGACATTAAAATAAAGCTATAAGTGATTGTAAAGCTATTTGTCCATTTGATAAAAGAACAAGGTTTTTACTAATTGCTAACACATTTAATAGATTAGCAAAATAAATATTTTTCAAAAAAAAAAAAAATTCAAGTCTTTTTTAATGCCATAGCATTATATCCCTCCATTCTGAAACAAACCAATTACTACAATTATTGGTATTTTAAACAATGACATGGTATAATGTTAAAACATTGCCTCAGTCAATCTAATTTTTTATACAAAACGAAAAAAGGTCTGTGCTAAGTTTGTGTCCTTAAGTAATTGTTCTTAATGATTATAGCAGCTGAAGTATTTTTACATTACTTAAAAACAAAAGCCCTAATTTTTGGCAAAGTTGATTATTAACAAAGACTTACTAACTGTTAATAATAACTGTTAATAATAACTTACTAATAACTGTTATTAGAGTATATCCAATAAATTTAACTCTTTTTTATTATTTTTGTTTTCTGAAGTATATTTTTCATTGCTAGATCTTATTTATTTAATAATTCCGAAAACTTAAAATGATTTTGTATTGAGTCAAATCTTGCATGATTGTCATTTTTTGTTATTAATTCATACCATCAACTCTAGAATTTAGTCTGCCATTACGAACATAAAAATGAATACCAACATTGTTAGTATTCATTTTTATGTTTTATATTTTTATGTTCATCCAAAATTGTCATGGGTGTTTTTAAAGTTTTTGTATCTCTTGGTGTTAAAAATTGTTCTGCAAATTATCTCAATCATAAAAAACAGTTCCTTATGAACACGATTGTAGAAATAAAAAATGTACATACATATATTGTGAATGTTCATGCCAATTAGCAATCATCAGCCATATTTATATCATCTATTCGTAATCATCAGCCATATTTTTCTATGATCTTTAAGATTTTATAAACAATTTAAAGATGTCTATTTGAATGTCTGTTTTATTAAAAACATTCTATAAGATGCGTTAAACATCTTTATTTATTTAATTCTTGATTTTTGTATTTGATTTTAAGTATGTTGAGGTCATTTCTTAATAAAGTAGGTGTAATTTTCTTAAGATATATTATATAAAAATGTCAAAAGTTAGATTGCAATTGCCATGGTAGATGGAATATACGAATAATATACAAATCAAAAGACCTCATGGTCTTTTGATTTGTATATTATTTGTATATTTGTGAAAGTTAATGATTCTTTTTAGTTCTATTAGATCAAATTCTTGGCTATCCTTTATTTAAAGAAAATTTTGTAAAAATGTAAAAGCATCCATAAATTTGTTGAATACAAAGTTTAATATTGCAGCATCTGTGAAACATAAACAATGCAAAGTTTTTACACACTTGTAGCAGTCTACTGGTGAAGTGCTTTATGCTAAATGCAATTGAAAAGCTGATGTAGCGTGCTGTTATAAGCATGTTGTTGCATCATTATACCAACTAGTTGACTATACATAGTCTATTAAACTGGTCCCAGAGATTAAAACAGGTATTGACGTTTTACAGATATGGCATGTTCCAGGTGAATCAACCAACTCTTATGCAATTTTATTTTCAAACTTATATTTTGAAAAAATTGACATTTATAAAGACAAAAATAATACTCAAAAAAGTTTCAGGAACTTTTTTATGCAGTTCTAAAAATATGGCAAAAATACAAAAATTGCAACAGCAATTGCAATTGTCGTTGCAATTGCTGTTGCATTATATATATATATATATATATATATATATACAACAGCAATTGCAATTGTCGTTGCAATATATATATATATATATATATATATATATATATATATATATATATATATTTATATATATATATATATATATATATATATATATATATATATATATATATATATATATATATATATATATATATATATATATATATATATATATATATATATATATATATATATATATATATATATAACCAGTGATGTCACATTTTAAAGTTTTTTGAGTTATTATCCCTACTATGTTAAAAATAAGTTTCCTCATCTTTACACAAATGGGTATGAAATAATAAAAATTAAATCACACCTAAATTTACATGTAAAAAAAGGGGTCACAAGGGGTAAACCAGAGATATCCAAATTGTTCAATGAAAACGGAGATGTCTAAAACCATTTTTGCAGAATAGGAATGTTGCTTCTAAATATTAAATTTTAGCCAATCGGATTTGTTTTTGCCAAAAACATAATACTCTTATATTTGCTGAAATGGTAGATAAATGTCAGTATCCTGATATATCAGAAATTTCAAAAAAGAAAAAAAAACATGGTTGAAAGTGGGAAAGAAATAGAAATGAACAAATATCATCACATGTTATTGGTTTTCTGTGTCATTGCAAACGGTATATATGTTTTGAAGAAACGACAGTGGAAGAAAGGGAGTTTTTACTGTTGTACTTTAATAAAATGCAAAATAAAGATCAACAAGACAGTTTTCTTGCTTCAATGATTGAGGTTTTAAGTATTAAATGAAGAAGACCTTGGAAAAAAGAAGAAAAAAGGTTTCTTCGTGATGATTCATTCTCTTATTATATCAAAGTGGCACGAGATAATAATATCGTAAGAGTTCCAGTCTGTATCAATGCTATTTGGCATTGGAAAATCAAGAATAGAAAGAATAAGAGGATCTCTTGTTACAGTAAAAATTTTGCATTATTAAGTACTAATTATTTATTTAAATAAATAATGCACACACAAATTTATCTTTTATAAAAGAAAAGTTTTTGTCTGAATTTAAGCCCCTATCAATTATAATAAATTTGATTTAATCAAATTAAAACGTATAAACATATGAATCTTGTACATTTGACTTTTTTAAGGAGTTCCTCCTTTAAGCGAGCAAATAAAACATACAAACCAACCTCTCGCCTTTTCAGAGAATATTGTAAATAGTATCATTGATCATATCAAATCTTTTAAAGGATGCCAAAGTCATTATGCTTTGCATGAAATTAGAAAGTTGTATTTGCCAGAGGATCTTAATTTATCGAAAATGTATAATATGTATAAAGAGTGTTTCCCACAAAATAAAGTTTGTCCTGAAAGCTACAGGTACTTTGATAATATTTAGTTGCTTATTTATAAGAGTATTATTTGATATTATCTAATTGTCTACTTTTCTTATCAGGAAAATATTTTCAGAAAAATTTAACATCAGCTTTGGTTATCCTCATAAAGATACATGCTCAATATGCAATAAACTCAATATTATACTTGAAAATCAAGACACTGGTGCAGCTCAGATCATCAAAGCTAGTCACGAAAAAGAACTTCATTTGCGAAAAGCAGAAATGTTTTATACCAGACAGAAGACAGAAGCACGTAGTAATTCAAAAACTGGTCATCTAGCTCTTGCTTTTGACTTTGCGAAGAATATGAGTTGTCCTAATATATCTACAAATGATGTTTATTATCGTAGACAGCTCTCTATGTACACATTTAATATACACTGCTAAAGTTCAAACAGTGTTCACTTGTTTTGTTACAATGAAACTTATGGGCAGAAAGAAGTGGACAATGTAGCCAATATGCTGGAGTACTATTTTGAAGACATTTTACCAAAAGATGTATCTCATTTGCAGCTTTTTTGTGATTCCTGTGCTGGGCAAAATAAAAACTGGACTGTTATTCGTTTTTTGCACTTCAATGTTGTAAATAAAAAACGGTTTCACGAAATAAAGATATCTTTCCCAATAAGAGGCCACAGCTACATGGAGTGTGATCGAGATATGGTGTTGATTAATCAGAAGGTTCAAGCAGAGCTACCAGTAAATTGGATGGAAGAATTTCATACCTGCTGTGAGAAACCTTCACCATTTAAAATTATCAAGATGGAACTGAATATGTTTTTTAATTTTTCTGATCATATGAAACAATTTTACAAAGTTAAATGTCCAATACCAACACGTTCTATACGTGAAATAAAAATCTCACAAGATTTTCCTACTAAGTTACTATACAGATTTAATTGGAATGGACCTTTTGAAAGAGTTGTTATAACTAAAGCTATAGGAAAAAAGAAGCAGTTATTGCAAAAAATCCTCCCACGTTTGTACAATGAGAGATTGCCAATCAGTTGTGTCAAGTATGCGGACCTTCAAGTTCTAAAATATTTTTGCATGCCAGAGGCCCACCAGTTTTCTAACGACCTGCCTCACAAAGGTCAGTTAAATGATAATGAATTAGTATCAGAGTTGTCTGAATATGAGTGAATTTAAGTAACTGTAACAGATAGCGATTAAAGGAAAAAGATAAATTTATTTTGAAATCATAGTAAATTTTGTTTTTACATATTATTTTAAACATAGTAGTGTATTATTAAAAATGTATTAAAAAAGAATTTTGATTTTTCAACTGTAATCATTTTTGTATTGTAAATCTTAAAATAAAATCAAATTTTTTACATTCTTTAACGTACATTTTTTTTAAAAGCAAAATTGTGTTAGATAATTATTTTAGGCTAGGGGTCGGTCGGAAGTTGTTGAAATATGGATTAACCAAATAAACTTAATAAATTTATTTTTTTTAACATAATATTATGGAAAAGCTTATACAATAACTTTTTTTATTATTATTATTCACCTCTCCAAGGCCTGAGGGGGGCCACTACAGTCAAGGAGGCTACAAATATTTTTGTGTTTATTATTTATTATTATTTTTTTTGTTGTTGTTACTCGTGGTACAACACTCTCTCTCAACTCTTTAACTCTGAAACACAAACCTTGACAAGCAAGGCCACTGCGCAGAGAAACTAAGTTGAGTGTGGTACTTCTAAGGACGTGGTGAGAATCGAACTTCGAACCTCTTGCTTACAAAGCGAGCCCTCTTACAACTACACCAGTGTTGCATTTTGCACCTTCTTGCTTTATCTTGCTCTCTCACATACTGCCTATAAGTTGTACCAAACTCAACTTATAAGCGGTATGTGATAATAAATCCCTTTTGGAGTTTTTTTTTTGCACCTTCTTGCTTTCCCTAACAGTGCTAATTATTTGAATTAAAAAAATTTAAAACTAAACATAACAGTTATGCATTTGAATGTATATATATATATATATATATATATATATATATATATATATATATATATATATATATATATATATATATATATATATATTATTTTTTCTGAGTTATAATAATTTTTACTCCAGTCTTTGCAACTTTTTTAGATTTGTATCCGAACACTTTTCTCAGAAACTGATATTTTAAATATCTAATATAGTTTAGATATGGTACATACTAATATATTTAAAAATTGTTAATGTTAGAATTCTAACTCATCAGTGTTTTAATTTTGCTTTTAAATGAAAATTTTTTTGCACACATTATTAAACCTATACTAAGAAGCACCATGGTATCATTTTTATTTAATAACTATTTTTTCTATACTTTAAATTGAAAAACTACTTGATTTATCTAGGATAAATGAAGATAATGTAATTTAGGCTAGTATGTTAGTATAGATGGAAACCTGTGTTTGGATTTTTAATGGTTATGGAGGATGATCTTTAGTAAAGTTTTTAAACTCTCTAGATTGAGTGCTCTCTGAGTCAACAGCCGTAAAATGTCAGAGTATTAATAATGCTATGTGGCTCTAAAAAGGTGTCTCTGTTAGTTAATTTCACATATACTATCAAAAATGATTTATGTATGGTTTTGAAATTTATGTAGTTTCTTTACCTAATTTTGCTACAAAGTTGTAACTTGAATTAAATAAATTTAAAAATCAGGCTAAAACTAACATAATGAAGCAAATTTTTATGCTTTTTTTTTTAACTTTTTTGTAACCTATGTTTATATTAAAATTTTATACATGTGTGTTTTTAATTTATAGTTTTTAAATATGTAGTTTAAATACTTTTTAAGTTGACATGTGATCTTTAAGAATGATAGAAACTGATGCTGATTCTTGATAAAACCTTGATGATTTAGTTAGATTTTACACTTTGTGTTTTTCTTTAAAGATTCTGAAGTTAATTGTTAAATGACTAGAAAATCAAAGGATTAACAGTTTTTTATCATGTGATTGCAGTCCTCAGGTTTAACAAAAGTGAGAAAATAAAAAATATTTTGTAAAGGTTTCATTCCACATTACAAATTTCATCTTTACATTACAACTCCTGCAAGTTTTAGATATTTTTTTTTTGTCTTCTTTATTGAGGTTTTAATTTGATGACTTTTTTTTGCTGAAAAATTAGTTAAATAACAATGCGTATTACTTAAAATTGTTAAGTTTTATATATTATTATTATTTTTATATTATATATAACTATATATAGTTAATATAATTATATATAGTTAAGTATAATTATAAAATTCTTTAAAACCAATTTAAATAGACTTTAGATTCAAAGTAAATTTATAGTTAGTTTTTTTTTTCAAACAAAAGTTGCTAAAATAACCATTGTTAACTTGAAAAAATTTTGGTTCTAGTATCTACTGAAAGAAAGTTATTTGAATCTGCATTAATAAGTTCTTCGGTTGCACTGGTTTTTCAATCTTTATCACTGGAACCATCTTCAACACTGGCACCATCTATAAGTTTATTGACTTTGAATACCGTTTACGAACCACTAACAACAATAACTCCAAGTCCAAAAATTATTGGTAAACTTATTTAAACTTTTAATTTTTTCTTTAGTGTTTTTTTGTTTTTAGTTTTTTAAATTTCATAAATTTAAGTTTTTCTTTTATACTTTTAAGAAAATAAAACTTTATAGAAAATAGTTTCATAAATACTAAGTTAATTTTTTAAAATTTTTTTAAAAAGTTTTTTTTATAAAATTTCTAGTGATGACTAGTTTAGTTATTTTTAAAGATATTTTAAAATCACTTATAGGTGGACAGGTGCCAAAACAAATGAAACTTATTACTAAAGCCGAACTTAATTACATTATGTTGTTATGAAATAATTTTAAAAAATTTAAAATATTTATTTATTACCTTACAAAAAAAATAAAAAATATTTATTCTAAAAAATATGTATTCTGTTTGTTGATAATTAGTATACTAAGTATATTAGTTTCTTTGTTCAAAGTCAGCACATTATATAGGATCATTATAATCTTTTTAGCTTGTTCAAAGCATTTTTTTAATTATGATTTACATTTTTTATGCCCTTAAACTGTTTTTTTTTTTTATTTTTTTATTTTTTTTTTTTTTACTTCACCTCCTCAAGGCCGAGAAGGCCACTACAGACGAGGAGGCTACTTATTTTGTGGCTATAACCTTCTCTCAACTCTATAACTCCAAAACAAGAACCTTGACGAACAAGGCCGCTGCGCGGAGAAACGAGTTGAGCGCGGTACTACCAGGGACATGGTGGGGATCGAACTCGGAACCACTTGTTTATGAAGCGAGCGCTCTACCACTGCACCACTACCGCATAACATACCGCATTTCTTTGTGCATTTAAAAATCTAAAAAAAGAGTACATTTTCATTTTTTTTCCTTAGCAAATATTTGTACTGTAAGCTTATGTCTAGATAAAGAAAGCTTATGTCAAAATGACACTAATAGCTTTAAAGTTTTTATATATATATATGTATATATATTAGAGATGTGCCGGAACCAGTTTATGCCAAGTCTTCGATTCCGGGTACTCGGCTGAAAAAACTGGGTCCGAGTCCAGGTACTCAGCACCGAAGCCATTTTTTAAAAGTTGGAATAAAAACTTGTGAAATCTCTAGCGCTGAACTATTCACACAAAATACGCTTTTTACGCTAACTAACCAAAAGTTATGTGGCGGAAGTACCATTTAGCAAAACCCCACAATGCAGGGTAAGGGACCTGAGTTGTAGGGCCTAACTTTTTTCAAATTTGTGCAACAGTTTTTTAATAATTATATTTAGTTTAAAATTATTTTTCTTTCCTGGTGGAGCGGGCCTAAATAATATTTTGTAGGGAAGGGGGCAAAATTTGAAGTTCCGCCATTGAAAGTTATATTATGGAAAGCAAAAGATTAAGAAATACAAAAAATTGCAAAAAAAAGGTAGACCTTCTCCACTGTAGAGTAATTAAAATAAAACAGATTTAAACAAATAAAAAGAACTTAAACAACACCTGCTGTATCTTATTTTAATTGTTTTATTAACTTTAATTTACTCCACCACAAAAACGGACAACCTTTATTTTCTAAAAGAGGCAGAGATAAATAGTTATCTATTTCTTAAGTAATTGCAGACCTTAATATTGTTTGCTTCTTAATTATGTCAGTGGTAACAACTTCAATATCTACTAATTCTCTTTCTGCCTCGGAACGTCTTTCACTCTGCTTTCTTCCGGTTCTCATAGAAGCTACATCTTTAAAACAATTATCAATGCTAATGAATCCATTAGATGCTGTAGCTTTTACAATTAAAGCATTGTCGGAGTCAGAGTCAACAACATCTTGCGCTCCTTGCATTTCTTTCCATGCTTCTTCAACCCACTCCTTAATAACATTTTCATCTGCATGTTGATAAAGTAATTTATATTGTGGATCCAAAAATGTTGATACACATAACATTTTATTAAGCAAAAATTTATCAAGTCTTTTAGTAACAGATTTTATTAGTTCATCAATCATTGTCATAATCCCAGCGTATATATCACTTGATGAAGCTTTTTGTAATAAAACTTTTAATGCAAGAACAGATGGTATAATTTGTGCGCAAGTTTCGTCCCTCCTACCACATTTTTTTGTTAAGTTTTCAAATGGAGCAAGAATGTGAACAAGTTTTTTGACTATTCCTCATTTATAATTAGTAGGAAGTTTAATTTCATCATATTCTGCTGTATAGGTGGCTAAAGGAACTTTTTGTTTAAACGTTTTTTGTAGCATTTTAAATGAACTGTTCCAGCGAGTTGGAACATCTTGTTTCATTTTGTGTGGTACAGTACTTAACTGCTGCTGAATTGATTTTAATTTTGCACATGCTATTTGCGAATGAATAAAATGTGTCGTTATTCCTCTGTATAAAGTTAAAATTTCCTTGATGGTTTCTTGGCTAAATATAGAGTCATGAATACATAGCTGCAAAGTATGGATAAAGCATGGAATTGATGACATTCCACTGTTTTTTACTGCAGCCTTTATATTGCTTGCATAATGGGTAACAATAAGATTAATTTTGCTTAACAAGATTTCAAAAGTTCCTAAGCCTTTTTGTAAATACTCTTTTATATGAACACCTGTGTGCTTTTCCAGAAAATGAATTACTCAAAGAACAGCAGTTTCTTGGAAAAATTTGGTTTGATCTATCCAATTTCCAGTAATGCTTAAAATTGCGATTTTTGCAGTATCCGCTGTCCAAATATATGTCGTCAGAGACAAATAGTTTGCCGCGGAGATTTTTATTTTTATATCTTTAAACAGTTCATCATACATGCTAGGGATTACGTTTTGGCCTAAATATGTTCTACATGGTAATTTGTAATTGGGGTAAGCATCTTTAATCAGTTCATTAAACCCCGTATCTTCAACAATAGAAAATGGCTGAATATCCAATGTGATAAGTTTTCCTATTATTTTATGGATTCAAATAGATCTGTGGTCATCAATATTCCACTGTTTTTTTTTTGTGTAAAGCCTGAATAATGTTACTTTGTACTGTATTGGTGGTACAAGCAACTGAGACTTCAGAAATAGACAGCAATGATTGAACCTTTTTTTTTTCTTCCGCAAGTTCAAACTCTTTGGAATGCTTTAAACACAAATGTTTTACCATTGCTGTAGTTCCATAAGACTTGAAAGATTTTCCTCCTCTCGTAATTAAACTATCACATAGTTTGCACTTACTCATATGAGGAGTCGTATAGAGTCGTATAAATGTAAAATATATGAGTATACTCATATATTTTACATTTTGGCTATTTGTAGTGAGTCCTTTTTTACTGCAGTATGGAATAGGCGTAAGTCGCGGGGTAAAGCATAAGTGGCAATGACGTTTGTCTGACGGGATAAACTAGTTATAAATGCTGATCCTCATCGAAACGCCAGTAATAATAGACGCAACTCTGAGGAGATGTTTATTACTTATCACTACACTAATTATGTTTACACATTAGCATTAATGTTTTTTTTCCATTATTAGTCCTTTCATTGTTGTTAGCATATTTTTAATTTGTTGAATAGTTTTTTGTTTTACAAATTTTTGACTGGTTATGTATTTCTTGTATATTTTAGTTCATATTGGTAATTATAAAACAATTTTTTTTTTTTTTTTTATTTTTAATTTTTTATTTTATATATATATATATATATATATATATATATATATATATATATATATATATATATATATATATATATATACATATATATATATATATATATATATATATATATATATATTATTATTATTTGTTATTATTTGTTTTTAATTTTTTTAAATTTTTTATTGTTATTATGGTTGAGTACTGTTTTGGTTGTATAGCTTGTCTTATTTATTTTTAAATATTCCTCTATTAATCTTTATTTTTGTCTTGACAACTGTCAAAATATGCTTTGTCTAATAAATAATTCTCCTTTATTCTAATGTACTTCATTTCTTCCCTCAGGCGTTCACTGCTCGTGTGTGACCATTCGGCGAATTTTATATGCCAAAGTTTTTAAATAATATTGGGCCTAGCCCGTAAGGGTTAGTGTTAGGGTCATTGAGCACGACTATTTTCCTAATCTCAATTACTGTCACCGCGAAAGAGGATTTTTGTCTGTGGAAGATGCCTGGGCTAGCTTTTTAGTCATAAGTCAGTTATAAATCCATGCATAAGTGTTTAATCCATCATGGTTTTTTGGAGTATGGCTGGGCTTGCTTGGTTTAGTTCAGAGACAAATCTTTTACGCTGGTTACTAACAATACAAGACTCTACTGAACGACATAAACAGCACAGACTTACACATTACACCTATACACCCTTATGCACATACAGCCTGTTTACATCTTTTGCATGCTTTTTGTTCTTTCATAGATAAACTATCTTTGTTTGAACTCATCCCTATTTAGATAATATTTTCTTTTAATAGATATGTTGTTAAAATGTAGATACAGATTTGTATGTTATCTATATGTGTTTATCATGTGTGATTGAATTTTTCATTAAAGGATTCATCTGAATTTACAACTAAGTAAAAGAGCGATTCTTATAAACTAGCGGCATTCGACTTGTTTTTATGAAGAATGTTTTTCCTTTTTATTTTGTTATGGTCTCAAAGTTACATTTAATTCGGACCGTAGAGAAAACTTTATTTTTCGGAAATTTTGATTTAGATATGGTCTCAAAGTTACTTTTAATTCGGACCGTAGAGAAAACTTTATTTTTCGGAAATTTTGATTTAGATATGGTTTCAAAGTTTCTTTTAGTTCGGACCGTAGAGAAAACTTCACTTTTTAACAATTTTTTTTCCCGCTTTCTACACCGTTATAGGTGATCCCAACTTTTTCCAATGTACGATGTACTTGGCACGAGGAGTCGTGCTTATATCAAAGAACTTCCACGCTATACTTTTTTTTTTTCATAATTTTTCTTTCAAATAAAATTTTTCTAAAGATAATGATACTAGTTTTGATATCGAAGTTTTTGTTTATTTTATATAAAACGATAATTTTTTTAATAATACGCTCGAAATTAAAATATGAAAAATGTGTATAGTATTTACCTTATATCTCAACTTTTATGATTTTTGCTTGATACGAATGAAAAGTGCTATTAACATTCGAAAGCATTATAAGCATTTCATTCAAAACTAAATTGCTAAAAATTATCTTGTGTTCTAACAGAATAAAAAGAAGCTATTCTAAAACTTTTTTTCCCATTCTTTTTATTCGTATTCTCGAATTATTTCATTTAGCATTACAGTTTTTGTATTCGTATAAATTTTTTGGCAAAAATGTATTAAAAAATATTTTAAGTGAGATTGTTTTAAGTTAATAGAACTTTGTGGTTATCGACTACATAACACTCTTACACTTATATCAAGAAGTTTAATGGTTAAAGTTTAAACTAAAGGAAAAATCAATTTGAAGATACCCGGTGCCGGGTACTGCAACAAAATGGCCAATACCGGGTACCCGGTAAATCAGCAAAATTGCCGGGTCCCTGGGTCCGAACCGGGTACCTGGCACATCACTGATATATATATATATATATATATATATATATATATATATATATATATATATATATATATATATACATATATACATATATATATATATATATATATATATATATATATATATATATATATATATATATATATATATATATATATATATATATATATATATATATATAAATATATATATGATCAAAAACAATTTCAACCATTTTGATAAAATCAGATGCCCACAAACACTTATTCTGCAAAATATAGCATTCACTTGCAAAAGTTGCACATTTTCTTACTTTATGGTAATAAAAATAATTTAGAAGTATTTCTGCTTAAATGTTTTATTATTTTTATTTATAAAACTTTATTTAATAATAAATGATAGAATTAAAGCTTTAGAATTTTTTTTTCAGAATGGTCAATGTGGAGTGAATGCTCTACAACTTGTGGAAAAGGTAGCAGAATTCGAAATTCTCTAAATATTGCATCGAATCCTGTAATTGAAGAATGCAATTCGAGTTGTCCAGGTATTCAGATAAATTTTTTTAATTTTGTTTTATGTTATTTAAATCAAGTTTTAGTTTTAATGATTATTATGTTATATTATTTTTCATTTCAATATTTTTCTTATATCTTGTAAAATAGCTGTTGCTATTTACATTAGTAGTTCTCAGGGTTTTTTTTACTAGATTATTTATAATTAAATCATCATGCACCTATTACCCATTTGGAATCACCCATTACACCTACACCCATTTGGAATCAGTTTATTAACAGGCTTTATACTGCAAGTGTTAGGATTTATGATTCATTTTTCTAAAATAAATCTTAAATCCCAAAACAATGTTTGTTTTTTGTTTGTTTTTTTAAATTAATTTAATTTTTTAGTATTTTTTAGGGGTCTTTTTATATAGTTGCACTTTAACAGAAATAATTATAAATAGTTACCAACCTTTTGAAATTGCATAAAATTATTAACAAAAATAATTAAAGTTAGTTGCACAAGTATGTGGAAGAAATTATAAAAAGATTTAAAATAATTTTTTGTTGTAGAAAAATATTGCTCTTTATGAAAAAATAGCAGACAATTAAAAAATAATGCAAATATAGCATTGTAATTGTAAACAAACAATCAAACGAAAGTGGGTATCAAAATGTTCATCATAAAACATATTATATAAATGTGTTGTTTCTTTTAAAAAAGTACCTCATAAACAACATATTTGCTCAACAGAGTGTGAATGAAAGAAGTGTTTTGTCAATCATAAGCAATTATTTAAAATAAAAATTATTCAAAACACATCATGCTGTAAAAATATGAAAGTTAAAAGTTAAAGAAAATAATGATTTTATATTGAATCGGTCCATTCTTAAAACACTACTTGCATATAATAATTTTTTTAAAAATGTATATAAAGCTTACAAAAAAATTTTAAATAGTTACACATGCAAACCAAGAATGTTTGTTAAATTAAAAAATAAAGTTAATATCCAAATGCAGACATGAAGTTAAGTTTCTCTTGAAAAATAATTATAAAAATTATTTTTATAAATAATAATTAATAAAAAACAATATATAAAATAAAAAAATATTTAAAAGACCCATTACCCTCTAATTTAAAATCTTTTGTTGTCTATAAATTTGTTTGTTCCAGCTGTAATGCTGGATACATTGGTGAAATCACCAGACACTACACAAGGGTTTAAGAACACTTAAATTTAGATAAGGCTTACCATATTTACAAACACCTCAATTTATCACAAAAATGCAAAAATTTAACAAATCCTGATTGCTTTTCCATTATTGACAGAGCTTCCTCCAAGTATGAACTCAAAATTAAGGGATGGAAAAACCTCTTTTTAATACATAATTAAAATCACACTATTACTATAACAATATACTTTCTCAAATATCTTACTTTTTATTTCCTATTTTGTTTGTTATTAATTATTTCAAACCTTTTGTATAATCTTTTGTAAAATTTTATGGTAATTGTTTATTTTATATAACTATTGTAAAAAACTATTAAATTTTTAATGTATACAAAAAAATTGTTTATATACAGAAATTTTAACTAATTTTTTATACCTGATGATGTCAATTGATATTGATGAAATATGTTGTCAAAAAGTTAAAAAAAATTGTTATTTACTTGAAAAAAAATATATATATATATTTATATATATATAATATATATACATATATATATGCAAAAATATATATATATATATATATATATATATATATATACATATATATATATATATATATATATATATATATATATATATATATATATATATATATATATATATATATATATATATATATGTATATATACATATATATGTCTATATTATATATATATATATATATATAGACTTATATATATATAGACATATATATATATATATATATATATATATATATATATATATATATATATATATATATATATATATATATATATATATATATATATATATATATATATATATATATATATATATATATATATATATATATATATATATATATATATATATATATATATATATATATATATATATATATATATACATATTAGTAGAAAATCACTTAGAAAAATTTTTTCTCATTTAACACTGTGTTTCATCAATAAAGACTCATCAGAAATTTATAAAATTTCTGATGAGTCTTTATTGATGAAACACAGTGTTAAATGAGAAAAAATTTTGCTAAGTGATTTTCTATTAATTTGTAATTGCTCTGTTCTTTTAAGAACATTGAGCACTCTTTTTGTAGAATACATTTTAAATTGTTTAAATATATATATATATATATATATATATATATATATATATATATATATATATATATATATATATATATATATATATATACATATGTATATTTATATATATATATATATATATACATATATATATATACACATATATGTATACACTAGACACCAGCAATTTCTGGAAATTTATCACTTTAAGCTGAAGTATGACATCCGGCCTTAAAAAAATGTAGATTGAACCTTGCGAAAGCGTTTAACTGTTATTTTTAAGGAGTTATAAAATATTTAATATATATTAACTATATTATCAAACTTAATTTATTACAATAATAAAAAAATGTCTCCTGTAAAAAGAACTAGACGGTGTAATTTATATGGTGGTAGCCCTTCTGATCTTCCTATTACAGATCTAGCAACTTATGGTGATGTAGCAAGATTTTTCTAAAAATTAAAAGATTTAGATGGTATAAAGACAAAAATGTTATTATTCAAAGAACGCTTTGTAGTTTAAAAGAAATATGGTTCAATTGCAATTCCAAATTAGTTTTGTTACCTGAAAAAAGTTTGATTGTTAAACTTTTAAGATTTTATAATAATGTTATTTCTTGGAATGCAAATAAAATTAAACCTTTGACCAAAAAATTGTTGGAAAAAAATAAAGAAAAACTTTTTGATCTGCTAGCATGTAACTGCAAGCTTGAAGTTCTTCCTTGTGATGACAGGAATATCAAATGCTCAGGTTGTTCAAATGTGCATCTTTACTGTAGTTGTGTTGGTAGTAAAAAAGTAAGTTATTCAAATTTAAAGTAATTTATTTTAAATTAAACTTTAAATAACTTATTTAATTTTTATTGATAAACTTTTTTTCTATAATTACAGAGAATTAGACTAGATATAATTTCATCATTAAATTAGATCTAGTCTAATTTAATGATGAAATTGAAGTTTCACTTCAATTTCATCATGACTAGATCAAAGTACTATAACACTACTTACTATCATAAATTTGCTTTAGAGGTAATTAGATATGGAATATCAGGTGAAGCAGCTGCTGCTGTAGCTAATGCTCTACTTCAAGATATTGGTTATCTACATCTCAATGATGTAATTGACCCAAGTAAAATGAAGAGAAAGAAAGAGCGAGTATGCTTTAATGCTAGTTTTGAGCAATCTAAAGTTTCAAATATATAAGGCAATCGATTTGGATAGCAAACGTAATAAAAACTCATTGGTTTATGAACAGAGAAATACTGACGATGAAATAAAACTTTATAAATCTACCAGCACTGTAGACCATTTGACATTCACAATTGAATCAGGTAAAGGCCAATGTTATCTCTTTTGTCTTGGTATTTATTTTTTTTAATTTTATTTTTTACTAATAAAAATGTTTTAATTTGAATAAGGCAAGTTGCAAAATCATATCTAAAGCACATAGATGTACCTAAAGAAAAAGGTAAAGGAAAAGATCTTGCTGAATTTACCTGTAATGTTCTCAAGAAGTTTAAGAGTGATAAAAGTATTCAGTCAACAAGTGTTAATACAGGTATATTTTTTCTTAAAAAATGCCTGTCTGAAAAATAAAAAAAGATAATATATAAATCTTTATTTGAGTTATATATTTTCATATTACTATATCATTTTAGGTAAAGATAATTGTTTAGTTGCTTGTCTTGAAAGAATATTGAAAAGAAGAATTCATTTAATTGGCTGTCTTCTACATGTTAACAAGTTACCATTGCGTCATTTAATATCTAAACTTAATGGTTCTTCTAATAGCTCAAATAATTATTCGGGTAATCTAAATATTATTTTACATTCTTGGTGATAATATTATTATTTAGATTACCCGATTATTATTTAGCAACATTATTAAAATTTATAGAAATTCTATTTTTTACTTAAGAGTTTTATTGCTGCTTTACTTTATTCTGATAAGCATAAATATAAATTATTATTTTGAGTAAAAAGTTATAACTATTAATATTAATATACTTGATCAAATAATAATAATAATAATAATAATAATAATAATAATAATAATAATAATAATATTTTAAAGGACCAGTTGGAAAATCTTTGACAAATCTAATTCATTTAAATTTAACTGTTGACTTCATACAAGTTGAGACAGACATTGAATATCCTCCTCCGTGTGTTATTAAAGACCTCTCTGCTGACCAGAGAATGCTACTGGAATATAGTATTGGAATTTCTAGAGGGTTTTCAGACAATAAATATCTGAGAAAAAAAAATAGGTGTGTTGTTTTGTAAATCATTTGTTCCTAATATTTTTCCTTTTATTTTGTTTGTTTGAAGTTTATGTAAATATATATTTATTAATATATAATTTATTATTAAATTATACTATTAATTAATTTTTATATATAAAAGATTATATTTTTAGGCCCTATTTGTCATGCAAGGTGGCTGACAACAGCAGTACGGATCTTGGCACTATACACAAGAACAATCAATCCCAGTAGAGAGCTCAAAATCTTTGAGGTTGGATACTGAAGTTCAAAATATTACATTGCCCATAATTTATAGAAACTCTTTTTGTCTCCAACTGAAAATTTTATTGCTGCTCTACTTTATTCTGAAGAACAGGTTTATAGAACAATTGCTGTTGTTAATATTTTGGAAACAAGAAAAACCCTAATTAAGGATCCTAAAAATGGATTAAAAGATGGTTTTAGGGTTAATGCCATTCCAGTTATTGATTGTAGATGTAAAAACTGGTCAAAATTAATAAATTTGTATGATATAGACTGTTTTGAGCCCCCTTGTGTGGAAGATATATCAAATGAGGAGCTTTTGAATATAATTCCGAATCAGGGAAAGGCTCCAAACTTTCCTTGCCACTTGCATAATAAAATCTTGTTTTTTTGGGTAAGTGGGAGCGGGGCAGGATTGTTAACACCTGCCCCGCCATCTAGTCACCACCCGTAAAAATAGTTTTCTTCTATTGCTTCTGTATATTAGAATAAATCCTGATAAAAAGTGCTGTAACAACATAACATTGTTGTTTATGTTTAAATCCGTTTTACAGTTAATGGCAATGATTATTGAAAACCGCGTATCGTTTTAGTTATTTTTCTAATACCCTAAAAACAACCTTAAAAATTTAAGTTAAAATTATTTATACAACTTATCCTTATAAACAGTACATTCATAAAAGTTTTTGTACGTTAACGTTTCAAATATTTATTGTGTGGCCTCTTAAAGTTTTTACTTTTTAATGATAATATATGATAAATATAAGTCCAATATATATATATATATATATATATATATATATATATATATATATATATATATATATATATATATATATATATATATATTTATATATATATATATATATATATAAATATAAAATTACATTGTTATATATTTTTCAAAAATGGTTTTTATTTGGACACACACACACACACACACACACACACACACACACACACACACACACACACACACACACACACACACACACATATATATATATATATATATATATATATATATATATATATATATAAATTATTAGAATTAAGGTATAATTAAAATAACCTTTTTTTAAAATTAATAGACTATATTCAAATCAAAACTCTTACTCGATGTTCACACCCTTCACTGTGTCACCTTCACTGTGTCACTGTGCCTCTAAATAAGTCATTCAATAGAACAAAAACAACAAAATAAATTATAAATAAAAAAAAAAGTTTAAATCAATAAAAAAAAAAATTAAAAAAAAAATTAAACTATCATATTACATTAGTAAATAAGATAGCAAGTATAATTATTTGAATAATTTTTTTTTGATTTACACTTTTTTTTCCAATTTATGTACTAAATAAATTTTAGGTTAACCAAAAATATTTTTTAAATAAAGTTTAATGAAAGGTTTTAGTGTGCTTACTATAGACAAGACTGCAATTACAATTACAATTCAATTGCAACTACAATTCAGCTTGAGAATTACTAGAAATTTAAGGAGAGATACCAAAAGTAAAAGTAAAGTGATTTGTATTAAATTAATTCATATTAAGTTCATGATGCTGAATTATGTTAAACTGGTTATGTTTGAAAATACTGATTATTAAAGTTGCTTTCAAAAATTAAATAACAAACCTTTATATAGTTTTCATACAAAAAAAAGTCTGAAAAGGAATCAAAAAAAAAAAAGAAAGCTATGATAGAATATTAATTTTGTAAAGCTCTTCAGGGCTAGTTCAAAAAAGATGCTGCCTTTTTTGTTCCATTTTTAAGCATGATTATATCTGTGCTTAAATAATGCTGATTTTTATTGTTAAAGTTATTTTTAATTAAACTTTTTTGCAGTTTGTCATTCTAACAATATTTCTTACAAAAGCATTCTCCAGAACTTTCTCTGATACACTCTAAGTTTGTTCTACCGCTGACTTGTTAACATCACTTGTTAATAAAGACTTGTTAATATCAGAAAAATTCTATTGTACATTAGGCGGAAGCAGTGAGGCAAGGGTTACTGCTTTTGACATATCAAAGACATTCAATAAAATCTAGCATGCTAGTTTTCTACATAAGTTTTCTATCAGATGTCTTTTTTTCTGGGAAATTAATTTAAAAAACAAACAAACTATTGAGTCATTACTTTCAAATTGCTGTTTTAAAGTTGCCTTTGATCAACAACACTTTTCTTCTTAGTAAATTTTTTTTAGTAACTTTTGAGGTACTTTCTTAAGGTCCCTTCTTTGGTTATTTTTCATTTATATTATTTCACCAAACCTAATCTTCCTCTAATCTTACCTATTTTATTTTATTTAATTTTATTTGGTGATGACATGTTCATTTTTATATATATTATAGTTTTTATTATATCATTTTTATATTATATTTTATTAACAATTATATCGAGTCTTGGGAAAATAAACATCAACCTTTAATTGCTAAACAGGTAGCTAAACTTGAGTGTGATTCTAAATCTATGACAACTTGGAGCTTTAAAGGTTTTTAGAACTTTATTTTTCCTTATTGACTTTTTATAGAGAATATACATATGAGGGGATTACCAAATAATCTATTTAAAAGTTTGCATCTGCTAAAGTTATCTATTTTTTTATTTACCTAAACTCTGTATTGTGTTTTTTTCATACTTTGTCTTTTAACTAATTTTGTACTGCTCATACTAATTTTAACTGCTCATACTAAGCTAGTAATACAAATGTGTTATAATTTGTTTTGAAATTATATTCATTTAATTTTAGAAGATGGAAGTTGGGGAAATTGGAGTATCTCGGAATGTTCAACTACTTGTGGTGGAGGAAATATCTATTTTAATAGAAGTTGTGACAGTCCACGCCCTTCGTATGATGGTCTAGGTTGTATGGGTGTAAATATTTACACTGAAGACTGTTCTATCAATACAGTTTGTCCAGGTAACTTCATAACAGCTTGAGCAAGTATTCATAACGATATAGCTTGAGCAAGTATACTTTAAAATATTTATGATGTTGTAATATTTTTATGAACTTTATTTATATGGGTGTTTAAGTAAATGGTAATTGGTCAAATTGGTCTTCATGGTCTTTGTGCAACCAACCATGCGAAGGTGGAATAAAATCAAGATTTCGTGTTTGCTTCGAACCTTCTCCAAAGTATGGTGGGCAACTTTGTGATGGAAACAGTACTGAAATTGCTGATTGTTCATTGAACAGTTGCAAAAGTAAAATATCAAAAATTTAATTTAAAAATTTATTACAAAAAAACTTAGTTTACAAAAAAACAAATATTTATTTACATTGTTATACATTAATTAATTATAAGATTATATTAACTAATTATAACAATTAAAAAAAAGATAATAGAAATAGTGCTGATGTCAAAAAATTTTATTTTCAAATTTTACAACATTTGTTTCATAAAGCGTATGGTCAGGCATAAGGTCATCATGATCACTTTGCTACTGGTAACATTTAATCCAGTGCAACTTGTTTCATGTGTTGTTGCCTTGTAGGATTTTCTATAGTATAGTTCCTGTTGTTATTACTATCTAATATCTGTCATATCTATAGTGGTATCTTTTTTGTCTATTATATAGTTGGAGGTGTTTTAGTTTCTGTGTTAGCTCACCCATAATTTACTATATATGTATTTTGTGTTCTATCTGAACCTAGAGCATTGTTCATCCAACCATAAGTTCCTGTATGTATGTTTGTGTTCTGTCTGAACCTCTGGTTTAGTGTTTGCTCACATGTAAGTTACTATATCTACTTCATGTTTTTGTTCTGTTTAAATCTCTGTTGTAGTGTTAGCTCAGTTACCAACAAGTGACTGCAACTACATAACATGGGCTCACCTTAATTTCCAGTATTCTTTTAGTTGTAATGTTTTTCCTAATAAGTCTTTCAGGGCTTGTTGTTCTAGACAAAGACTTGGAGAAATAAAATTTGACTTGAAAATCACATTTCTTGGGGTCCTTGGTTAAGTAAAGCTTAGAAATGGTGTCTTTATCATCAGATGTTAACTGCGTCCAGCAACTGTCTTGTAGAAAGCCTTCTGAGAAAAACTTTAGGGGTAAGAAGAATAATTCTCTTGACCAGACTTGCACCCCTTCTTCATCTATTAGGCTGGGGTAGATGTGAGCCTGTTACGTTGTTTTCTGCCTAGGATGATGAATGGTGGATCTTACTTAACCACAGATTTTTACTTGTGCCTTCTTGATAGTGGCTATGCAACCCTTCCTGTTATCTCTTAGTGAGGGTACAGCTCTAAAACTCTATAGCTCTAAAACTCAGTTTAATGGTTTTGGGGCCGGCTGGTAGGTTTCATAAAATTTGTAGCAGCTCTCAGAGAATCTGATTGTGCATGGATGGTGTCCCTGTTAGTGCTTTTGGTGTGTGTTGCCAATAAGAAGCCCTTTGCATTAATTAGCAGGACTGTATTAAGACAACTGCATTGCTCATTGCATGGGATGCCGTGATGCATCATGAATGAATTAAGTTGTCTTTAAATTTAAATCATGCCCAAATTAACCCAAAATATTCAACCTAAAAAACCATCTCCGCCTCCTGTTTTGATATATCTTTCACAAATAGCTTGTATTTAGTTTCTCATTTTTCTCCTTTAGAAGGTTCTAACCATTTAATAATCTCTATAAATCTTCTATCTCGTACTTCTTCGAACTCACCCTATTATTGCACATACTACTACCCTACCATTACTACACATACTACCACCCTTTTTGTGATTTTGTTTTACAGTCTTTAGGCTAATCTACTGGATCCATGCAGGTATGGAAGCTTTTATTCTTTATATACAGCTTCTATATCTAATCGTAATCATTTTTTTTCATCTTTTTCAAAATAAACCAATCTCTTGAGAAAAAACGTCTTTTTATTATTTTCGTGCCTTATTTGAAAATGGCATCTTTGATTCCAATTTTAAAAAACTTCAGAGAACATTCTGACCTCTTTAACTATTGTCCTCTAACTATCTGTCTTCTCTCTATTATTAGCAAGGTCTTTAAGTATTTGATCAACAAATTCCTAACATCCCATGTTGTGTCTACTAACTTACAGTCTGACAATTAAAATGCATATTATTTGTCAGACTGTAAGTTATTAGTCACAAAATGGGATATTAGGAATTTAAAAATTATAATTGGTTATCAATCTTCTCGTTCTCCGGATGATTTGCTAAAAGATTTTATTGTGCATAAAATGGGGGCGGCAATAGTTTTTAATAAAGTTTGGCATTCTGGTCTTCTCCAGCATGAACTATATATCAACCATAGTTTATGGTTGTAGAAAATTTTAAAAAAACTATTTTATAATTTTTTGTTATATTTTTTTTTTTAGAAGCAAAACTGAATTTAAGTATTTTTTTTGTGGACGAACTTTATCTTTTGAATTCCGAACTTAAAGACAAAATAAATATAGCGGTAATTAATTTTTTGGAAAAAATGTTAATATTTTAATATATAAAAGTGAAATGTTAAAACATTGATTTAGATATCAAACCTTTATAAAGATTTCAAAAGAACTGTTACTTCTAATATCGTGTTGCATTCTATAAGGTAATTGAATTTCCTAATAAAATATAAAAAAGAACAATTATGAAGTTGACATAAATATACGACGAAAACCTGCTAACATTTTTTTAATTAACTTTTCATTTTTTTTTTAATTTATTTTACTTTTTCCATCATTTATATTATTTTTATCATTCTTTATTTTCTTTACTGCAATCCAAAAGCTAAATATCTTATTTGTATAAGTGGGCAACCAAATTATTATTTACACTTGGAAAAATTATAACATAACCATTATAAACGTTTTTACGTATCCTTATATTAAATTTTAATAACAATGTTGCTGCTTCTAGCTTATATAAGTTTTTTTCTTTAAAAAAGTAAAACACCATTTTAAACAATATTACTATTTTTAACCATTTATTTAAGAAAACTCACAATAAAAGTATTTTTTAGTATTTAATTGGGCCGCCTTTTGCATCAATTATTTCTTGTATCTTTCCTGGCATAATTTGGATGCATATATTTACATTTGCTTTTAATTCCTTATTATTACGCCAGACATAATTTAGTGTCTCTAAGAGATTTTTTTTGTTGGTTATAGTTTCGTGCCCAATTTTCTGCTTTAAAAAATTCCCTGGAGTTTTCTATTGGGTTTAAATCGGGATAATTGCCAAACCTCGGTAAAATAGTAATACTTTTTTGACTTAAGATATTTTATCAATGATTTACCTTAATGACACGGCATTATCATGCATAAAGATGCATTTAGATAAATCAGGAAAAATGAAACTGAGGAATTGGTTTTGCAGCTAATACTTTTTTATATTTATCCTGGTTTATCATCTCTTCAACTATATAAAAGTAAGCTTCTGCCCTTATAACTGAGCACATCATAACTTTTAGAGGGGGCTTCACCGTCCCCATACCGTTTGGGCTATATTTTTTTTTTCCTGTGTCTAACAAAAGAAGACTTATCCATTAATATTTTAAATTATCTGATAAACACCCCGGAAAAAAAATTAAAATAATAAGAAAACTCATAAAAATAAAAATAATAAGAAAACTCATATGTCTTAATCAATGATGCTGTTGCAATAAACAAATAAAAAAGTATTTAGTTACATTTTTCCTATCTTCAACAAACATATGCAGGTGTTGTTTAGCCCAAGGAGGAGGCGTTTTAATTTTTTTGCTGGAGAAAGTTTAGGTTTCTTTGCGCGTATGCAGCATTTAAACCCCAGTTCTGTTATTCGACGCCTTGTAGTTCTGTTAGAACTCTTGATACTGGCTTCTTGTATGATTACTTTTGTACGTTTTCTTGGTTTTCAACACAAACGTTACGAATTGCCTGTTTTTCTTATTTGCTCATTTAAGTCCATATTTATTTGCAGTTTTTATGAAAAAATAAACTGTAACAAATAGCTTGCCCGCCCACTGTTTGTACATTGAGATGCAAATTATTCATAGGCTAATAAATATGTTTTCTTTAAAAATGATGATTCATAACTTTGCAGTATGAAAGAATTGCATGACTGGTTAGCAGATAAAAATTTGACGATTGGAATGAAAACTTAACGAGTTGAAATTTTGAATTGTTACTTAATATACTTTTTTTATAATTTATATATTTTTGTTTGCCTAATAATAAATAAATGTATAAAATAAAAAAAACAAGCTGTTATAAATAACAAAATATGAATAAAATTAAATTTTTAAAATAAACATTTGCAAGATTTAAATTAGATTCTACGCACAATTATTTTTCATTAGATAAACGTTATTAATTACACTAGTTATTTTTTAGTAATTATTTTTTTAGCTTTTTAACTGTAAAAATTCTTAAGAAATAAAAAAAAGTTTTTAGTGATTTTGTTTTTGTTATGCAAAATTTAAGCATTTCGAAAACGAATGACAAAACCCGTGGCAAAGTATAATTTACCATATTATCTAAATCATCATCACCGTTATTATCTTTTATTTAATTGGATGTATGAAAATATAATTTGAAAAACATATATATATTCTTTCAAACAAAATGTATATATTTTCAAACAAAATATAAATATAATTTTTTTAAAAAACTTATATTTTCATATACCTATTCCGCTTTATTGTAGTTTAAGATAAAATTTTTAAATGCATAAAGCAGAAGAGTGGCTTAATAATAGCGTGTTCCCAAATTACGTCACCTTTTTGGGGTCAAAGATTTTGTAAAACTTTGTGACACGGATGGGGACGAAAGTAGTGTCAGTTTTGTAACGTCACAGTTTATTTGATTATCATTCCGGGAGGCTGAATAAGCGCGAATTGACATAAATGCGAACTGGTATGTGTGGAGAGTTGCAAAAATTGACAAGTGCGAATTAGTTTAAGTACGCCAAAAGGTTTGCAAACATTGACATAGGTGCAAATTGGCATAAGTGCGAACTAGTTACAAAAACTAGCACAAGTGTGAACTGACATTAGTGCGAATTGGCGTAAGTACGCGAAATAAATTTGCAAACATTGGCAAAAGTGCGAATTGGCATAAGTTCGAACTGGCATAAGTGCAATGCAGTTACAGAAACTGGCATAAATGCAAACTGGCAGAAGTGCAAATTGACATAAGTGCGCCGAATAAATTTGCAAATATTGTCATAAGTGCAAATTAGTATTTCGCATTTATGAAAATTCGCGCTTATGAACAGTTGATTTTGAATGAGATGAATTAGAAGATGAAGTTCATTCTTATGAGATGATTTAATACCTAAAGTTACTTTAAGAGTTTTTGTCGTAAAAAAACGTATTTTCGTTGCGTAAAAAGTTTTAAACTCATGCTAATATGAATAAAATTTGTTTTAAAATTAATTTAAAAGTTAAATATAGTTAATCTTTGAATTTAAATTAGTGAGATTGAAGCAGTGGAATGGATAAACAGAAATATTTTAGGTAATATATTTAATAATATATTACCTAAAGTAAAGTAACAATTTTCCTTAGTATAAATTTTTAAACCTTTTTATTTAACTATATTTAACTCTTACATTAATTAAAATTTTTTAATTTATTTATATTTAGCATGAATTTAAAACTTTTCACGCAACGAAAATACGTTCATTTACGTCGTTAGTACCTTAAAAGTATTGCTTACGTATTTAAATAAAAAGAAAGAAAAAACAACATTTGATGATGTTAAGAGCGATAGCCTTTACCTTTACTGTTGCATTTAATGCACAATAGAACCTTTTACTTTTATAAAATATGATATTTTTTTTGTGTTCATTAATTCCTCAGAGTCATTTAACAAGAAAGTTCAAATCTTCTTCCCTACCAATGTCTTATATATGGCAAGAGCATTAAACATTGGGCCTTTTGATTTTAAAGCTCGCGCTCTTGCTACTTTGCCTCTTATATACTTACTAAATTTTAATGCAAACATAAAAATAAAAAAATTGTATCAAGAGATACTTTGCCCATTTTAAAGTACACTTCTTTCATATGAAAGAATTTTGATTTGAAACTTGTTTTCCTGAATTAAATTTATTTATTAAGTTTATGGCGATGCTTATAAACAAAAACATCGCTTTTGTCAATTTTTATGATTCCGCTTTGAATGTTTGTAGTAAATAATATTTTCGATTTCGATTTTTTTTAGCTATCAAGTTGCTTCAAAAATACCTCAGAGCACTCAGAAGTTTTAGAGCACTGTGGAAGACCATTTTGATCAGCAGAAAGTTCACACCTTCTTTTTTACTAATGTCGCTTAACTGACCAGAGATGCAATCAAACCATGAATCGCGTTGTTTTAAGCCAAAATTCTAACCACTGTCTCGTAGCTGTTTTACATCTTTTTCAGTTATGTTATTCAAAAAAATTCAAGTTAAAGTCTCTACAACGTTTATGCTTAAGCTGTGCGGTTGTTAAAGAGGTTTTTGATACTATTGAATATCCCCTTCCTTTTTTATTGAATACCCCCTTTCTTCGTATTTTTAAGCTTTCATTCTAAAGTTGAGTTTTCTAAAGATATTAACTATAATCAATTTAGTTAAAACTATGACCTGAAAGTTTTTTAAGTTTAATTAATGGTTCAAACTAAACAAACTCTCGGTTAATATAACTAAAAGCAAACACACTATCATTTAAAAAATTCTCAAAGAAACCTGGCTCTTAAAGTTCTCGATATTATAATACAGAAATTAAATTACGACTTTTTGTATTAAATTACCATTATAAACAAATTGTTTGTTTGGTGTGCTAAACTTATTATTTTATACATGTTTAGATTAAATTTGTAATATATTAATTTTTATTATTAATTAAAATTAAAATTATTAATATATGTAATATATTAATGATTTGTTATAATCAAAAATAATTGTTTTTTTTATTATAAAAACGCGCTCAAAAATGTTTGATGTAAGAAAACGCTTGTACAAGTTTTATAATATAACATTACACAAACAATATACTGATGGGAATTGATTCTTTTTCCTTGACTTATAGGCTAATTATGTTAAAAAAGTCATTGCTTTAGTGGACTACTGAAGCAATTTTTCGAGACATTTTTGTACTGGTATTTATAAATCTTTATACATTAGGAAAAACCACTGTAACAAAATGAAAATCACTTCTTAATAAAAGTTTTGAGCCTCAAAGCGTTTTTATGGAAAAAATTTTTTAGATGATGATGATTTTAGATAATGATCGGATCTTAACTATACCCATCTCTATGACTTGTTCTCAAATCATAGAGTTATCAACTACTATTTGGTTAAGTTTGTAGGATAAATATAATAGCATACTAATTTAACTGCAAATAAGTTCTACTATTTGGACCTGTATGTCATTTAAAAAATGTTTTAATTAATCTAATCTTATTTTATTATGAAGAAAACTCAATATTAGAAAAACAAGAGAAACGCGGTAACCAAAACTACTTTGATATTATTAATGCTTTCGTTGGCTCTGTTACATTTTGTCTCATCGATTGATATTGTTGCTATCATTAATGATCTGCTGAAATATATTATGAAAGCAAAGTTACTTGTTAAAGAAGAAAACAACTTCATATGTAGTAGCAGGAAAGATTTTGTCTTTTATCCACAAAAAAAAAAATCAAAAAACAAATAATATGATCGTAATTTTTTTGTCCATAAATTTATTAATTATAAGTAAAAATATTTATGATTTTTAATATCTCTATAAAAATAAACCTCTTTTGAAAGCCAGGTTGACATACTTTTGTGTGATGTTTTTATAAAAATAATATTAGAGATTTTGCTCCAGATAGTAAAGATTTGAGCCCAAATACTTTTACAACTATATATACATATATATATATATATATATATATATATATATATATATATATATATATATATATATATATATATATATATATATATATAATGTATATAATAGGGTAACTTAAACCCCCTTTAGTTATAAAATCAAAATGCTTATGTGTGCATGTGCTGTGGCTACCCTTTGTTAACAATTTAAACCCAATTTTAGCTCTGAAGTCCAATATCTAGTACCGCCTCAAGTCCGTTTTCTATTTCAGTGTGGAGAAGAGTAGAGATTGCGTGATTAACATCTAATAAAAAGCATTAATAATCCGTTCAAGAGAGATGGAGGAACAATTTACATCTAAAATAGCAACATATCTAACAAAACAGTGCCAGGGTAGCATCCAGGAGGGGTGAGGTGATAGGGGACTTTTGGATCCAACAGAAATTAAAAGAAGCCTCTATTATAAGTTTAGTATTTATCATAATTAACTACTATACTATAATTTTTAAAATAAATCACATATTTAAAAAAAACAACATTTTTAGTTTAAAATTTTCCGATTTTTAAAAGTTCCTCTTTTGTATTTGTTGAGTGTCTTTTTATGTAGTCTGCCACAGTAAGTAGCAAGTTCTGTTTTAATGCCTCATGCTGACACAGATGGGTGAAATCTTGAATCGGTTTGATTTCTATTTCTGCCGTGTCATTGACGACAGTCAACCTATTGATAAATGTGTAGATACTTATACTCTGAAAAATTGTGCCAGTCCCTGAGAAACTAATATATAATAATAATAATAATATTAATAATAATAATAATAATATATTGGCTATTCTATTTTTAGCTGCAGCTTACCTCTATCCAGTCTGTTTTCTTCAGGCTTAGATGTTGAAAAATCACCCAACTTTGAGATCCGACCAAATTGGGCAGACTAGGAACATTCTCCATGTTTAATTTAGGGAAGACAGGTTTCCAAGTTCAAATTTTTTAGGTCTGGAGCATTTCATCAAAGCTTGGACTAAGTCATCTCTCACATTTTCATCCAACTGATTATCTGCTTGTGCAAGGACAACATTTTTTCCAATTAGAAACCACAAGTGGTTTTTTAAGCTCTTGATAGCTGTATTTGAAACAATTTTATTAAAATTCCATCTCTTTTTGCTGCCTTTTCACTCCTTTTGTTTTTTTCTGTCTTTGGCACCCATTACAGCTTTGCGCTCTCCTTTTTGATCTTCCAAGAATGCAACATCTGGAAGTCTTTTATCTTTTGCGATTTTTCTGTTAAACGAAATAACCTCAACAGCATTTTTGACAGAAATATCAAACAACTTCTTCATTTTTTTCTTGAAATATTTCCTTTTGCTCATTTTTGTTGGAAAGTTCTGGTTTTGTTTTTTGCCAGATTTATTCTTTTTTTATCCAACTGAAGTATCTTTAACCTGGTATTAACAATAGTATATATTTGTAGAAAAATTTACTTAATGTATTATACATTAGAGCAATTTTGAATTCTAAATATAATTAAATATATTTAGAATTCAAATTTGCAATATTTTAAAAAAATATTAAAAAAGCAATACTTTGGAAAAGTAGTTAAATTATTTTAATTTAATAGAAAAGTCTAAAACATGAGGAATAGAACTCCTCCGCCAGAGATCCTTTACAGCACGAGCCACACACAGGGTTCTTCTTTCTCTCTGGCATCCTGTATTAACTTTGCACCTAATCTCACAACTCTTAGTTGACAATCGACATGAAACAACAGAATTCTTCTTGACACTGTTGAAACTACTTGAAACCATCTCTTTCCTGATTTTTGGTAGATTCCATTGATAAAGTTGCAGAACTTTTTTTTTTAATTATTATTTTGTTATTTAGGTGCCCCAAGAAGACCTAACGGTCTTTTCCCAGAGCGCCGCGGAAGTGCATTTAACTAGGAAGTTCACGTCTCTTTCCTTACCGTGACACGAAAACTTGTTCTCCAGTTTGTAACTGTGAAACTAGAAGAACTTCAATAGCATCTTCCAGCAGATTCTGTGTTTCAATCTAGTATTCTTCTTCAACATTCTTATACCAACCCTAAACCAATTTTTTACGTTAAATTTGTTTTAAAAATAACTTTTCATTGATAAATATCAATTTTTTTTTTTAATATGTGATTTATTTAAAAATTATAATATAGTATTTAATTATGATAAATACTAAACTCGTGATATAGGCTTCTTCCAACATCTGTTTGGTCTAATTTTTTTCTTGGTGGGGGGCTGAGCCCCTCCCTTCTCCAAGTTCGAGAAGGAAGGAGGGAGGTGGATTTCAAGATCTAATAAAAAGCGTTAGTAGAAAACGGACTTGAGGCGTTACTAAACATTGAACTTCAGAACTAAAATTGGGTTTAAATTGTTCACAAAGAATAACCACATCACATGCACACATATGCATTTTGATTTTATAACTAAATGGGAGTTTAAAGTTAAACCGTATTATGTGGTGTGTGCATATATATATATATATATATATATATATATATATATATATATATATATATATATATATATATATATATATATATGCACACACACACACACACACACACACACACACACATATATATACATATATACCTATTCTAGACCGTTTTTGACAACGTCGACCATACTTGAGCGCCACCCAAATTAAAATTTGAGGACTTTTTTTTTTTTTTTTACGTTTTTTACAACAAATATTAATATTGCTTCTTTTGCGAAAAAATCACTGATTCTCCGCTAAAGTTCGCCGGAACGATGGGATGGTTGTCGGTAAAATGCGAACTGCGAACCGGTAAAATGCGAACTTTTTTGCGAACCAAAACATATTTTAAAGACCATTATTGTTATGATAAAAATAATAATAAAAAAACTCCCAAACTCTTAATTATCTATTTTAAAGCATTATTTAAAATAAAATTTTTATTTTTTAACTGTAAAACATGCGCAGAGTGTAAAACATCGACTATCTTATAGCCTGACTAGCAAGGGAGTGCTGCTACATCGACTATCTTATAGTCTGACTCGCAAAGGATTTCTACTGAGGGCTTGGTTTGGAAAGGCAGTCTATCATATAATTATATATATATAAAATTATATTGTGTTTGTCTAGTTTCACTTAATTTCCTTTTATTTTTTTAAATTATTTTTTTCGCTTAAAAGTCCTTAAAATATACCGCTAAATAAAATATTTAACGGAAATAAAACATTACATCATTAACAATCAATAGGACGATGGTTCGCAAAAAAACTCGCATTTTACCAGTTCGCAGTTTGCGGTTCGCAGTTCGCATTTTACCTAGTACCCGATGGGATACCGCCGCCCAAATTTTTTTCCTAGAATAGGCTATATATATATATATATATATATATATATATATATATATATATATATATATATATATATATATATATATATAATATATATATATATATATATATATATATATATATATATATATATATATATATATATATATATATATATATATATATATAGTAGGTAGTAAAACCGGGAATAAACGCTAATTCTCAAAATAGCACTTCTATTTTTTTATAAACATATCTTAAGCACATAACACACGTCTAAAAAGAAAATAACAATAATATCCGGCAACTGTATAAATAGTTATAATAAATAATTTATGATAAATAATTTAAAATTAAAATTTTTTTTAATTTTATAAACAATATTAAGCAGTCCATCTGTCATAATCTTACTAAAATTGCTAAAAAAACGTTTTAAAAATAACTTTGAGTTTTGATTTTCAAATATTTTGAACTATAAATTGTAGAATCAGTTTCATTTTCCCGAATCATTTGTAATAATGCTTCTGCTTCTTTTTGACCGTCTTCAAAAGCTAATTTTCCATATGTATTTCTTTTTGAATTAGCTAGTATAGGTCTAGGCTCAGGACAACCCATGTGATCATGACTGGCTACTCTTGGAGGCAAAATCCTGTTAGCTGGATTTTCTAAATGCTTACGTAAAAGGTCGTTTCGTTCGTGCAATTTGTCACAAACATGACAAGAAAATCCAGAAAACATGAAGTAACCAAAGTTTGGTTTTTGATATTTGTTCGGCAACGACCATTTTTGAAGCTTCAATGAAATTTCAAGTTTTGGGTTTGAGAATTTGCCAGTGTACCGATGTTTCAAATATTCATCATAACTTTCATCATTTGCATTAAGCTTTTTTAAATATTCCGCCAGTTTCCGTGGAGAATCAAAATCTTCAACCATGATGACAGCTTTTTCACTAGGCATGAATTCTTCAGCTAAAGGAGAACCTAAATACACGGGAACTGATCCAATATGTAGAGGTCGAAACAGTTTTTCTGTCATGTAATCTTGACACAGACAGTTTTCAAACGCCAACTGAAATTTATAACGGGCTAAGAAATGGTAGTAGGAATCGCTTGATAAATGGTGGAAACCGTTAATTTCATCCGGCGGCTTTTTGTTATTCAAGCAAGGCCCATAGGAGTCAATTGCTATATACTTCATTAGCTCTTTTACGTAAGTATCTCGATCAGAAGGAGGATCGCAGTCACGTTGAAAATACACAACTGGAGCAAGACCTAATTCTTTTTGTAACCTGTAGAATCAGAATAGCATACAACCCCAAAAAACAATAATACTTTATCTAAATTTCAAATAGAAAAACATTTAGACTACCTGTTCTTTTCTTTTGTTTCAACAAAAAATTTCTTATCAAGCCATTCATCTGTATCTTTTAAACATTGAGTAGATAACGGATAATCTGATTCCCGCTTGAATGTAGCGGTATGATTAAACAAGCTAAAAATAAAGCTGAAGTCATTGGCAATCATTTTATCATGACTTGTGAAATGTATTAAATATTTTAAAAAATTAATGTTAATGAATCGTTACTTTCAGTTTTAAAATTTTTAAATAGTTGAATAAAATAGTTTACTCAACCTTTCAAAATAAAGATTTGTACTTTTTTACTTCAACTTTTCTAGTTCATGAGAGATTTGTTTACGCATACATGGTTATTTCATGCAACACACTAAGCAAATGTTTTTAAAGTATACATAGCTTTTTTATTCAATAATTTTGCTTAAAATTAAGACTTTCGACTGAAACTTTAAAAAAAAAACTTTTTCACTAATTAACTTTGAAATCTTTTGTAATACAGTTAATTCCCAGTAAGTCAAACACAGGTTAACTCGAACTTTTAATATCCCGAACTGTTTCATTTGGTCCCTCGAAATCGTCTAATCGATTATTATTAAAATTCTCCAGTTAAGTCGAGCTTCGGATAACTCGAACTTCGTTAAGTCTAACCATTTTTTGGCCCCCTTCAGCAAGTTTTATCGGATAATTCAAACTTTTTGTATGGGAATGAAAGATAATGACAAAGATAAAATAATTTTTTTTTAAAAAAGAAGTCATTCCATATAAAACATAAATAAATTTTTTTTTTTCATTTATATTTAGATCTGAATAGAATAGATCTTTACGAGACGTAAAATAATGCTATAAAAAAAATTGTAAACATAAATCATGATAAAAGCCATTATGTTATCTTTTGACTATAGTGCGTGAATACAACCCGCAACTTTTTTTATTGAAACATTTTCCCAACCTCTTATTAGTAAGGTGAGTTTCCACTCATTCGTTTTTCTACGGGAATCGGATAGGGAAAAGATAAATAATCAGGTGAGCATGCGTAGTTTTCCTTCGAATAAATTAAAACTTGTACTTGTACTACGTATTCCAAGTGATTTCTTTTTCCTTCCCGTTTTCGTAAAAAAACGGACGAGCGGAGGAAACTCACCTTAATAGTGTAAATTTAATGTATTTACTTAAGCATTCAATGAAGAAAAATTGCTTCAACTCAAACAAATATTAACCAAAGTTCAACTTAACAGGAATTCGATTTAGTCGAACCATTTTTCTTGGTCACTTGGAGGTTCGAGATATCGAGAACTTACTGTATTTTTATATATACTGTGTTCTAACATAGAAAAATTCAAAAGAAAAAGACAACTGATTTATAGAAAAAATAGCTTTTCTTTTCATTAATTTAGCCTAAAATCAAGGTTTTAAATAAAACTAATTACCAAAACTTTGAAATAAAAGGTTTTCAATGATATCCCAGTGGGCACAGGACGTAAAAAAGACGTCCTTAGGACGTTCAAATCGCGTCCGTCCGTCCCATTAAAATTCTAAACGTCTTTTGAACGTCTTATTCGCGTCCAATAATTTTTTCGTCCAAAAAATATCCAGAATGCTTTATTAAATAAAAAAAAAACCAGTTAAATCACGCAAGCGCTTAAACATCATAAAATTTTTAAGTAACGCATTTTAAATAAAGTTTTTTCAATTACAAAAGAAGTCTTTTTACAACAACTAATAGACACGTTCCATCTAATTTTTGTTTTTGTTATCAATTGAAAATTGTGGTAATATTGATACAGGTAATGAAATTTTTACAGATAATGAAAGAAACAGTTTAAAACTGAATATATGCTATACTATGTATATATATACTTGATATACTATTAGTATAGTATTGCTATATCAAGAACCAAGTTCTAACAATAAGATTTAGACATCTCATGCAGAATCGAATTTTTCAATAGGAAAACCTGTTAATGATCATGGAACAATTATCCTGGTAATTCTTTGAATTCAATGTCTTTACTCGACAACATTATACTATTTTATAATGGAACCAGTACATTAGTAAATGATCTTCTTGAAATATTGCCAAATCAAGGTTTGGAACTTCCCAAAGCTTCAAGGAAAATTTTAAAAGCACCTTATGTAAAGCGACTTATAGACAGGTTCTTGCTAATTTTTATATATATTTTTAAACATTTAATTACTTAAGAATCGTATTAATAAATAGTTAAAAACTGGGTATATGATATACTATATATATATATATATATATATATATATATATATATATATATATATATATATATATATATATATATATATATATATATATATATATATATATATATATGTATGTATGTATGTATATATATATATATATATACACACACATATACATATATACTAAGTATATACTTGACACTTGATATAGTATTTCAAGTATAATAATTGATATACTATATCAAGAACCAAGTTCTGACTGTTTGAAAGACTTAGACATCGCAGAATCTCATGCATAGTCATATTTTTCAAAAGGAAAACCTATTAATAATACAGAGAGTTTATGGTGATAATTCAATATAATTCAATATCTTTAATTAACAACTTTTAGATTGTTCTATTCGAAATAATTGGACCAGTACATTAGTTAATGAACTTTTTGAAATATTACAATATCAAGTTTTGGAACTTCGCTAATAACCAATTACTTAACTTTAGTAATTAGTTATTAGTGAAGTTCAAAAGTTTTGACTAAAAAATAAGTCTAATTGAAAAAATTAAACCAGTCATAACAGTTATATAAAAGACAGGAGGGTAGAAAATTTCCTTTACTCTAAAGGAAATTTTATACCCACCTGTCTCTTATATAACTGTATTAACATATGAATAACCACTATATCACATGTTGGAATGTTATTAGCAATTTACTAAGTAACCGATGAGAAACACTCCTTAATTTCCCTTTTTTTTTTATCAACTAGGAAATTTTATTAAAGTAAATGGATTATACTTATTATTAAAGAAATTATATAGTCCTTTGATTGATTGCAAACCTATATTTCTGTTGTATATATATATATATATATATATATATATATATATATATATATATATATATATATATATATATATATATATATATATATATATATACACACACACACACAACCCTTGGAATTAAGAAAAAAAAGGTTGACAATAATTTGTCGACATCAATCGAAAAAGCAAAAAAAAGTGATTCAAAAGTCTTACCATTAAACATAGAAACAAGGTCAGCATTATTTGTCGACCTCAAACACTTTTAGGTTGGCATTGCTGCATGCCGACCCTAATTCCAAAGGTTATATATATATATATATATATATATATATATATATATATATATATATATATATATATATATATATATATATATATATATATATATATATATATATATATATAAAAGTAATATGGTAATTTATAATAATTTTTCTATTTTTTTTTTAAATTTATTGAAAAAAATAAGATTCTGTTTTCAATGTAGTTATTTTCTCCTTAATTCTTCTATTTTTTCTTTCAAAAAATTGACTTTCGTGACCAAATCTTTTTAAATAATAGAAAATGTCTCCTTAAAATCCTGACTTATAGCGTCAGTTTTAATAGTAAAAATACAAAACATATGTCAAATAAAATAAAAATGAGTTTTGCTAAAATTTAAAATTATTAGAATTAGTTAAAATTTAGAACTATTAGTTATTATTAGTTAAAATTAGTAGAATTTGTAGTATTAGTTAAAATTTAGAAATAGATAGTGTGAAACATCAGTTAGATACAATTTAAAGTTGAACAGAAAAATTTAAAAAAAAAAAAAAAAATGCTAATGCTAAAAAAAAAACACTTGTAAGAATATTTTTTACTTTATCCATAAGTTTTATTTACTTGTTAATTAGGATTTTATTTTTAGGAGCGTCAACTACATCAAGTGTCAGTTGATATATATGTTTTGGTCAAATACATGTTTGTATTTGGTAATATTATGTTACATTTTTGTTTTGTATTTCAAAAACTCATATTGCATTTATTTAAATATGCGTTTAGGAATCTAGAATTGATGTATTTGTAGTTTTTGTATCTAATTTTGTTTTAAGTTAAAGAAATTTTATTTGATTAAATGTATTTAACTCTAAGGTTCATTTTTATTTTTGCTTTCGGTTTAAAAAAAATAGAACAACGGTTTTGGCTATAGTTCATTTTATGTAATGGTTAATGTAATATAATTTATTTTATGTAATATGCCTAATGAATTTTTATTAGTAAAAACTTCTTTAATTCATTCAGCTCCTCCAAAATTTGAAAGTCTGTGATTCAAAATTTCCCTTTTTTTTTTTTTTTTTTTTTTTTATTTTACTTCACCTCCTCAAGGCCGAGAAGGCCACTACAGACAAGGAGGCTACTTATTTTGTGGCTATAACCCTCTCTCAACTCTATAACTCCGAAACACGAACCTTGACGAACAAGGCCGCTGCGCGGAGAAACGAGTTGAGCGCGGTACTACCAGGGACGTGGTGGGGATCGAACTCGGAACCACTCGTTTATGAAGCGAGCGCTCTACCACTACACCACTACCGCATAATCCCAAAACAAATATTTTTATCCCAAAATATATTTATCCCAAAACAAAGTTAAAGAAAATATATGAAGTCGATGATAAATCTTAAAGTTTTACAAAGAGTAATGTAAGTAATATTTTTTCTTCTAATAACTATCTTGGAAGTTATTATAACTATCTAGGCCTTTTTTCTTTTATAAATTAATTTTTTTAATACTTCTCAATACTCAAAATAGGTACCTAGTCAATTCAGCAAGAAAAAAAGAACATTTAAGAATTTTCTTTCAAAAGATGTAGTTAGTAAAATTTTAAGTTAGTTATATATATATATATATATATATATATATATATATATATATATATCTTCTTCATATCCTGTAACTTCAGGGGTTCTTCAAGGTTCAATCCTTGGCCCTATACTCTTTTTAATTTACATTAACGATCTTCCAGATATTATCACATCTAAGGTGGCATTGTTCGCTGACGACACTACTATTTATTCTTGACATGATAAGAAGCCTACACTCTCTGATTGCTTGGAGGGGGTATCTGAGCT